AGCAAGGGTCAGATGATAAAATGTCATCTTTACAGCCTGTGAGAGCTTAAAAAACTCTATAACTTGCTGAAATAATAGGCCGATAACACTCCACTTTCTCTTTCATCATTCATCAGGATTTTCTACATCAGACATTCTGTAGAGTGTGCCTGTCTCTTGTCATGCTGCATGCGGCAGATTGGCTGTGTAACTGTCAGAACAGGGCCAACTCTCTCTGCCAGCAGCTTCCACTGAGACTGGAAAACACGACAGTAAGAGAGGCAACCACAGAATGATGTTTTTACTAACAAAATTGGAAATTAATATTTTTCTTTTCTATAGCACTCTCCATGAGAAGATCTGTACATGCTTTACACATATTAAGCTTCAGTCCCACTCTCATGGGTCTTATCCTTATTTTAAATTAATTGACCATGGCCACACAGAAAGGCTATAGCAAAGCAAGGAATAGATCACAGCTTTTGATCACCAGTTGATTATTTTTAACCAAAAGACCATTCCTCTTCCTCATTGTCTCTAAATTAAATGCTAAACATTAGTGTAAGAAATAGTTAATTGTGACCCGACACACTATTACCAGATTGTAGCTGGCCCTTGCATTAATGTGCCAGGATCTTCTATCCCTTTGCAACTGCTCCCTTACGCAGAGGCCAGTCACCCTTGCAGCTCTTGCTAGCCCTCCTTTCAGTACAAACCACTACAGAGAGGATAGGGCAGAGGCAGAGCCTCCTTTGAACCAGCTAACTGAACTGGCCAGTAATAGGGGTGTGAACATTGGACCCTCCTGAAACGGTGCAGGGGGTGAGATTCCTTAGCATGCTAAATAGCTCAGGGAGTCATTGTGTCTCCCCAAATCGCCATGCTTCCTGGACCTCTCGCTGTGGTAGAGCGGCTCTGCACCATCTCTTATGTAGGACTGTGCTTTAATGGCACAGTCCAGCCCAAACTATTCTAAGCCACAAGCTGTCAACTATAGCTAGAATTGGAAAGTAAAAAAAAGATTTCAAAATGTGTTCCCCCTCCCCAATAAACAAGGAGCTTGGCAACAACAGTAATGTATATCATACAGTGTTTGCAAGTGCACAGTTCCTTTAACCTCTCTGTGACTCAGTTGCCCTTAGGGTCATCTTGGAAGAACAGGGATGACGCTCAGACCAACAATGCCCACATCCCCAGCGTAGTTGGATGTTTGAATATTATTTCACTACTGGTGACTTCAGCAGATATTAGGCATCAGAGTTAGCGCCTACTTGAGGATGAATGGGGTTAATTTGCAGCTCTGAGCTACTGTGCCTGCATACACTCTATGTAATTCTCAGTGGCATTTGTTTCTACCTTCAGCTGGCAGTAGTGCATTGGTTCACATTTGGAAGATTTCCTTTATCAACTATGAGGCCTAAACTAGTTTTAAAAAACATTAATGGAAAAGGATGATTTTGTATGTCCTTTACTGATCTTCTCATCTATCTAAAACTGAGTTTTCCCCCCTCCTTCTGTTTTTCCTTCATTTTAGAAATATGCGGAATTACAATTGCTGACTTCCTATGGACTAGGTAAAAATAAGGCCCTCAAAATAGGCAGAATCCTGAGCTGCAGCTTAGCCGTCTTTTGAAGGAAAGGTGTTAGGCGAAGAAAACTTCTTTGAGAAAGAGCTAATTGCTTGATAGGAATTTGAATTGAAAAGGTCTGTAATACTGAAACAAAAAGTTTAAACAATCTGACTTAACATCCCTTTCCTTTCCAACTGAGAATTGGAAAATTGAGAATTGTGAATTCAGAGTGTTGCAACTTAAGTTTCTGTCTCTTGTGATGTTACTAACACATTATTCCAGAGACACCTGTAGCAAAAAATAGGGATGTTTAGACCGGATATTTCTAATATATATATTTTTAAATTATATATAAAAAACATTCAAAAGCCTTACAGGTCATAAGAATTATTTTTTTTAATGTGACTCCAAAACAAAAGTTAAAATTGTAGTTTCTTTCATGAAAAAATGACTCTAAAAATGGCATTGTGGGATCCCACATTAATGGCCTTTAATTTCCAAATCAAGTGTGCTCAATTTTTAAGTGAAAAGATGATTTTTCTAATTGCCAGTAATAAATATTCTGCAACTAAATTTAGTCTTCGGTAACACTTGTGCATATCCAGGGTCATCAACAGGTTTGCACAGGGATAGGCGATACTTAAAATTGTTTGCTAACACATGTGAAGGAATGGAAACTAGCTCCTTCCCTGTTAGCTGTGTTGACTCTGCAGGGCTAGCTGGTGTTTTAATATAATTTTTTTTTTTAATCACCGAAGCAAGCAGATACTACAGAATACATATGAGTAAATCTGTTGACTAAGAGGATGCCAATTTTACAATAGAATTGTGCCTTCAGTTCTGCAGAAACTGATTGGATCACCAGGAAAATGCCAATACTTTCTACCAAAAAATTAAAAAAAAAGTTGCTTTTATCTAATCCCTAGCTGGCCTTTTTGTAAAACAGATTAATATTATTTAACTACCTTCACAGGGTGTTTTTGAGCTTCAATTAATATTTGCAAATGCTTTGACATACTCCGCTGCAAGTGAAAAATATGGTACTGTGTATATCAGGGGTCAGTAACCTTTCAGAAGTGGTGTGCCGAATCTTCATTTATTCACTCTAATTTAAGGTTTCGCTTGCCAGTAATACATTTTAACGTTTTTAGAAGGTCTCTTTCTAGAAGTCTATAATATACAACTAAACTATTGTTGTATGTAAAGTAAATAAGGTTTTTAAAATGTTTAAGAAGCTTAATTTAAAACTAAATTAAAATGTAGTGCCCACCGGACCGGTGGCCAGGACCCAGGCAGTGTGAGTGCCACTGAAAATCAGCTTGTGTGCTGCCTTTGGCGCGCATACCATAGTTTGCCTACCCCTGGTGTATATAAAAAAAACCTTACTAAAAATGATGATAAACAGTCACTCATAACACAAGTTTTTAAGTCCCATGAAAATGAGGAATGTATTATTCATATACTTCTAAAAATAAAATACCTAATTCTCTTTTTAAAAAAGAAATCCCCTTTTCTTTTGTTCAGTAGGAAAGTGTTTTCCCCTCTACTACTGGTAGCTCACATGCGCCTGTACACCATTTTGCAGTGTTTAGATTCTTCCAACATACTTCCATTTCTTGAATATCTTGGGTTTCCCATCCACATTCCTGTTGTTCTATTCCCAGAGAGAGAGTAAGGGACATCTCCATAGCATATATATGAGGTTTGTGTTCTTTTCTCCGCATTTCCAACATGTCATTTTGTCACTTCTGCCTGCATTCTGGCCACTTTCCAACTGGACAGTTTCCAACATGTTTCAAAGAATTTCCTGCTGGACTTTCAGCCTTAAAGAGGTGGATTTATTGCACAACTTGATCCACACTCTAATATTAAATAGAGCAGTTCAAATCTTTGCTGCTTGTCTCTGGTATGCAGTGTTGTAACCATGTCGGTCCCAGGATATTCGAAACACAAGGTGGATGAGGTAATATCTTTTATTGGACCAACTTCTGTTGGTGAGAAACTTTTGAGCTGACACAGAGCTCATAGTTAATGAGAGAAAAGAATTTTGTAGCTAGAAAGACTAAAATTTACAAAATTCAGTAATGTCCATGCAAAGGGATGGATGCTCATCAGCATGGACTGGGCGGGAGTGTTACACTACTATAATATTCATTCTTTACTGCTTTGTCTTAGTAATAGGTGAGATTTATTTAATTTAGAAAGAAAGAAAGAATCAGTCTTTATCATCAGGTAATGACATCTCTAGGTAAGGATTTTAAATACTTTCCATTATAAGGCCCTGTTTTCAGTTCTTATAAATTGGCCAAACTTAAACCTTTCAAGTTGAAATTTTCAATGCCAGATGTCCGTCTCAAACTGTTTTTTTAAGTTTCAGCTAAAATAGTTCTGATGTTTCTCAGACTGAGGTTGGGGAAGAATATTTTTACCCATGTTAAAAATAATTCTTAACAGTTCTACTGAGAAGCTCTAGCACAGTGGTCGGCAACCTCTGGCATGCGGCTCGTCCACAGGTTTGGCCAATCGTGGCTCTCACTGTCCGTGGTTCGCTGCTCCAGGCCAATGGAGGTGGCGGGAAACCGCAGCCAGCACATTCCTTGGGCCACACTGCTTCCCGCTGCCCCCATTGGCCTGGAGCAGCGAACCGTGGCCAGTGGGAGCCGTGATCGGCCCAACCTGCGGACACAGCAGGTAAACAAACAGGCCCGGCCTGCCAGGGTGCTTACCCTGGTGAGCTGCGTGCCAGAGGTTGCTGACCCCTGCTCTAGCAGCTCCATGCTTTGGAGTAACAGAGGGTCCTGTGGCACCTTTGAGACTAACAGAAGTACTGGGAGCATAAGCTTTCGTGGGTAAGAACCTCACTTCTTCAGATGCAAGTAATGGAAATCTCCAGAGGCAGGTATATATCAGTGTGGAGATAACTAGGTTAGTT